GCTGCTCTCCACCCCTCCATCCCCCAGCCTGTGCTGACACCGGGGGTTGCCCCCACCCAGGTGCAGGACCCTGCCCTTGGCCTTGTTGAACCCCATGAGGTTCACAGGGACCCCCCTCTCCAGCCTGCCCCGCTCCCTCTGGATGCCATCCCGTCCCTCAGGCGTGTGAACTGCACCGCTCAGCTCGATGCCATCTGCAAACGTGCTGAGGGTGTGCTCGATCCCACTGTCTGTGTCACTGATGAAGATATTGAACAGCGCTGGCCCCAGTACGGACCCCTGAGGGACACCACTCGTCTCTGAAGAAGTGGACAAGCAGCGCTCCAGCCACCCATCCCTTTACAAAGGGATGCCAGTGCCTCCTCCGGACACAGCCCGTGGGGAGGCATCCGAAGATGCTGAGTTGGCTTCTTTCTGAAAGACATGCCTGCCAGCTGAAAGCCCTTGCGCCAGACTGAGACCCCAGCTGGGCCCCCACGCTCTGCGCCCACCAAGAGCCACCTCCTCCTGTGGAAACACCCGGCTGCTGCAGAGGACACCAACGAGCAGCGCTGTGCTTTCCAACACCAGCACATCCAGAGCGCACACGTATTTGTGCCCCTGGTGCCGGACACCATCGTCACGGGTGCTTGTGAGCAATTTCCACCTCCCAGCTTTGTCCCCCTCTCCTCCAATTCGCAGTCATCTTCTGTCTACTCCAAGTGGCACAGATGGCAGGGGGACAACAGCCACCCACTCTGTTCCCAGTCCATTCTCCCACTGCCATGGCCAGCACCGCCTGTGCGCTTAAAATGGCAGCCCTGCTACAGCCACTGTTTCTGCTGTCCCCACGCAGCCCTCTTGCCCCCTGTTCCAGGCTTACCTCAACCGTGCCACATTCAGAGCAGAAAACCTTGTGATCAAAATATGTGTACTGGAGCAGAGCTCTCTGCACAAAGTATATATCTTGTTTTGATCACGCAGGAAATTAATTCCGTTCATCAGTGCGTGCTTGTTATCAGTCCCAGTCTCATCAAGGCATTTGTTTCCATTAAAACCTCAGTCAAGATGTCTCTTTAATCAATACAAATCATAGAAGGGCTGTTTTTAATCACAAAGAACTTATCAATGCATTTTTTTCAATCTATTAGAAGAAAAAAAAAAAAAAGCGCTTTGCGGCAACAAGCAATCTACCCATAGGCAATTCACAAGCCATCTATCAGAGGTAACTCCCCGATGCCTACAACGTGTTCTAAAGCGGTGCTAATGGAACGGCAAATATTGAACACATCTGCAGGGAATGCAAAGCAGAAGCCAGGGCAGAGAAGTGCTGCTCTGCCTCAGCCAGAGAAAGCTCCTTCCCACCCAAAAAAAAAATGGTAATGCCTCTGTGGCCACTACAATAACAGGAGGCACGACCCCGGTGAGCATCTCACCGAGATGTGTCCTCCGTGGCTAAGCCTGGAGGAGTCTCTGGGTTCAAACAGCACAAGCTGAAACGTTCAATGGTTTATCTTCTGCACAACTCCATCCCCTTCAATTCCCCTCTTCCCCGCGATGGCTCCCTGCAACAGCAGGCTGAACACCACCCTGAGTCCCCTCCCTCGCCTGCCAGCTCTCGAACGGCTCTCTCCTTTGCTCCCACATACACCATGCAGAATGCGGCAGGGTGTCATCATTCACAGCATACATTATTCCGCTTCTTCAAACCTTCCAGTTCCCAACCCTTAAATCCTGCCAACCCTCGCTTCGCTGTCACGCTGCAGCTGCTTAGATAGCACTCAAAACTCTTCATTTCTGACACCGAGATGCCCAGATAGGCCGAGGTGGAAATGTCCAAATTGTGCATCTCCAGAGGCAGCAGCTGCACCAAAGCACAGCTGGTGGCAGGGAGGAAGGCAACAGCTCCGGGAAGCTCCAGCATCCTGCTTGTGGCCACAGAACTGCCCCAAAGCCTTTACCAACTCCAGAGCACTGGCCACAAATACAGGAATTCTCCTGCTGAGGAGCCGGTAAGTCCTGGCCGCGCCACCAGGACCGTGTTTGCTGGCGTGCAGAAACCCCACGGCCCACAGTTTGCCACCACTGAAGCAGGGTCTGATTCTCTTCCCCCTTCTGCACATCCTCAAGCCCAAAGACGCTGCTGGGGATAAAGCACTTCCAAAGGCAAGGCCTTCTTGTAGCACCTTCTCCATCCGCCTGCCCCAGCCCATTCCCTCCATGCTCTGCTTTCACGCTCTTTCCACCTGCAGGCTACAAGGCAGAAGCTGCAGCTACTTGTTAGAAACTGCCAAAATCCCTTGGCAGGGCAGCAGCGGGTGTCACGAGCATTCAGCAGTGACATGTCAGATACACCCACGCAGGCGGCAGCTCCATCCACCTACCAGCCCTGCAGCGAAGGCATTTGTCAGCACTCTGAAAACGGCACAAGCCAACCGTGGAGGTGCAGAAATCGGGATGGCAGAGATGGGAGGGAGAGATTTGCAAAGAGCTGATGCTTTTTAAGCACAGCGGGAGACCCATTTCCAGCCAGCCTTGGCCAAATATCTCGGCACACCCCACGGACCGTGCCTCCCGAGGGGCAGAGCCCGGCTCCAGACTGCACGGCTCTGCGCAGCAATCGGTGACGCTCAGCGGTGCAGAGGGGGACTTGCAAACCAAGAATACTCATCGTTTACCACCGGGTTAGTCCACATCGCAGTGTATGAACTTAATCTTCCACCTCCGGCATCAGAGAACACCGCTCGTTCTGCAGCCAGCCGTACGCTGGGGCTACACTACTGCCAGACGCCGCGACGAAGAGGAACCTGGAGCGTGCGGTGGGAAGTCCAAGTCCCTGGCTGACGGGAGAGGAACAGCCCACACAAATCCAAGGCAATTCCTCACACAGAGGAGCCTTTGGTTCAGCTCCTCTGTCAGGTCCTGCCTGTGCCACCAAGTCAAAACCCAGGATCTCAAGGCCAAATCTCTTTTGGGTTTTGCTCTGCAGAATTTCCTGATCGCATCAAGGTCAGCGCCCCCCATCTCCAAAACCAGGCTTTTGGATGACAGCGTCCCCACTCGTCCCACAGCTCCGCCATCAAACCCACCTTAGAGCACAGGCTCTGCTCTGCCAACACTCGAACTCCACCAAGGGCTCCTCGCTTAGCATTTCACGTGCGTTAAAATCCCAGTCATCAACCCACAGGAACCACAGGGACTTGGGAATTTACACAGCCTCAGATCCTCATAGAATCACAGGTGGTTTGGGTGGGAAGGGAACTTTCCAGGCCATCCAGTCCCACCCCCTGCCACGGGCAGAGACATCTCCAACCACATCAGGCTGCTCAGAGCCCCGTCCAGCCTGGCCTTGGATGTTTCCAAGGATGGGGCATCGACCACCTCTCTGGGCAACCTGGGCCAGTGTCTCACCACCCTCAGCATAAATAATTTCTTCCTTATATCCACTCCGAATCTGTCTTCTTTTAGTATAAAACCTTTCCCCC